ACGAAGCAACTCATGACATATGTTCATAGAAACTTTTCTTCTTAAAATGACCTAACAAATCACACCCTGCAGTTAGGAACCGTAGTTAGGAAACACCCTGTATATTATCATTTCATTTTGACTTTGGCCTATTTTTTTTTCAATCTTCGAAAAAAGCGTTATTTGTATAAATAAAATGTTATCTCGAACTCATTTTTGAACCGTTAGTTTTACACGAACCCCGCACTGTCAAATAATAACAACAAAAAAAAGGCTTAGATATACAGTGTGTCCACCTTAAGGACTTACCACCCCTGTAAAATCGTTATTATCCGACCAATTTCAAAAAACCTTTTTTTGTTGGAAAGGTATTTGAAATGCCCATCCAACGAGAGAGTGATCTAATTCTTGGACTGTTATCGTGGCTAACTGCGACAAATTTCAATTACTCATATTCCAGAAAGTACTTTTAGGGATTTTTTTCCACGAAACTTGATGATGGATTCTGAATCAGTACCACTTGAAATATACCTGTACCGATTTTCATCATCATGAAACACAGGGTGTCCGAAAAAACGAATCATCATTTTCTTCAAATAGGTGATCAGCAAATAATGTAGTTCTGTGGTTTTTCTAGAAAGAAATAATCACAAATTATCATTGAGGATTATTTCAAATATATCTGTCGTCATTTGAATATACAATTTGTCTGAAAAAAAAAAAAACTAAAAAGGATAGGTAAGCAATATTTTTCATCCTGATAATTCTTCACTCAAAATAAAAAGATGAGTTGTTGAAAAAATACTGTCTACTTTTTCTTTTTTGTTTTCTCATACACATCGTATTTTTGGATGATGAAAATCGGTACAGATATGTTCAAAGTGATCCTCAATAATAATGTGTCATCAATTCTTCTCAAAAATACCACAATACTACATTTTCTGATCACCTATTAAAAAAAACATAATTCGTTTTTCCGGACACCCTTTGTTTTATGATGATAAAAATCAGTAAATGTGTTTTTCAAGTGATCGTGATTCAGAATCCATCATTGTTTTTTGTGAAAAAAAAATCCCTAATAGTACTATTTCAAATATGGATCAATAAAGTTGGTCGCAGTTGGCCACGATTACAGTTAATGAGTAAAATCACTCTCTTGTTGGATGGACATTTCAAATACCTATCCAACAAAAAAAAGTTTTTTGAAATCGGTCAGATAATAACAATTTTACAGGGGTGGTAAGTCCTTAAGGTGGACACACTGTACTAGAAACATCCACAATAATTATTATAAAAGGGTTTTTTCCACTGATACAAAACTGTCAAGGTGGATTCTGTTGAATTCATTAGAGTTTGAAATGAAAAGTTTGTTCCACTGTAAATAAAATAATGGCTCATAATAATATATAACTATTTCTAACTATAAACACTGCAAATGAAGAATAATAATTTTTCAGATAATTCATTAATGAAACTATCTTTGCCTCAATGAAAGATTTGTGATACTTTTCCATATCAGTAGGCACCGAATTTTTCATCAAACCTGAAAATGTTTCCATATCCCATTTTATTCACATAAAAAAATCCAATCATTTAATTGGATGGCGACTATCAACTTGATTCAATCAACAAACAAAAGTATTCCTATGCCTCATTGTCAAGTTTCACCCTCAATACACAGTGACCCGAAATTTCAACGTTTGAATATTATCTCCAGACCAAAATATGTTAGTTTTCTCGTAAGCCAAAGAAATATATGAATTTTAATTCAGACACCAGATATCTTAATTCTGTGTCAAGCTCTCACTATTTGTGTGAAAAAACTTGGACAATAAGAAAAATACATTGATAAAGGCTTAAGAAAAAACTAACATTTTGAACCTGAGAGATATTCAAAGGTTTTCATTCTGTCGAGTCACACTGTATTTTCGTGGTTGACAAGACAGCTTTCCCTCTGTGTGTAATCGTAAAACTTTCGAAAAAAACATCGAGAAAATACAGGGTGATCAAAGTTCAATTAATACTTCGGGAATTGATCGAACTTGAGATATAGGGCTTTGAAGTTAACATTTATTAACGAACATCTTCAATATTCCAGCTGTCAACGAATCTATTAGACAAGTCATAACTTCTAGAATAATAGATGTATCAAAATAAAATTCAATATGTGTATCATTGGCGGCTCCTCAGAGATAGATTCTCCTTAAACTGATATTACCTATACTTTCTCATTGAAAGGACACCAAAATACATGGATTTTGATTTTATTTCCTGTTTTTAGGTAAATATTTTCGAATTGGCAACAGTGCTTGCCCACGCATCACACGTTGAAGTCTGCAAATCACGCGTAAAATATTCAACTTGGCAACATTTATAGGAGGCTAGACTCCTTCACCATGCGAAACCCACGAGCGCAATGCAAATGCCCGAATACGGCCGAACCGAATAGCATGTGTTTGTCGTGTCGCGTCGCGAATTGCGGACAATCCAGCGCGAGTGCATTGTTTATGTTAGGTTAATGGTTAGGGGCTCTATAAATTTCTGAAAAATGAGTGTTTTAAACGATTGCGATTTAGTGGAATACTTTTTGGTGAACCCATTCAGTGCTTTGTCTTATGAGGATAAATTGATTGTGAAAAACAAACGTCCGACACCGAAATTAAAAAATCTGATTGTAACAGGTAATAAACAAAATCGTTCGTTCAATTCTGATAATAAATTATAAAAAATATTGGTTGATGGGATCTGAGGTAAGGAATAAGCTATTTTGTTGGTACTGCGTATTATTTTCAACCGATTAGTCATCATGTTGGGGGCGATTAGGATATAATTATTTGAAGAATTTGCCTCGCGGATTAGATAGACACTGCAAATCACAGGAACACTTCTCCAAGTATTTAGTTCAGGTTAACTGGTAAATGTCATTTAAGCTATTGATTTGGGTGAGTCGTAGAGAGTTGTTTTTCACAATAAACCTCATATCATTCAGCCTCCTCTGTCATGAAAGTCACAAGCCGCCACTGATGTGTATGTGGTATGTGAGGAGGAACATTTTCGCATATTTTTCACTTCCATTATTGAATTTTCAAATGGAACACCCTGTATATTATAACATTCTTGAATTTCTGAGACAATTCTGGATCAGAATATGATATTTTCAGATGTTGTTACGCCTATTAAATTTTTCAGAGTCACTTTTAAGATTACATCTAGGTGGCCATGATCTATGGACCTCAGGGAATTTCAGAAATATATAATCACAAAGTTTTAGTGACTAGTATGACAGATAAGAAGAAGACAAGTTGACAAAATTACATTTCCGTGATGATAATTTTTCAAATGGCAAGCATTTTCCGGAAAAAGGATTTTTTGACGAGTCTAGCGATACTAATTTATGTGCGATTGGATTGAAAATAAGAACATAAATTCAATATCAATTAGGAAAATACTGCAAATTTTTTGTTTACTCACATTTATCAAGTGTGCCATGGATAGCCATGATGTATAATATTTTGCAGATATTTTTTTCGAGTCTTCTTTGCAAAACAAAACACACTGGTATCCACTTTTCACTATCTTCTTCTCTTTAGGTTTATTGGATTTCTGTCTCCTTTCGGTAACAATTTCTCCAGATCAGGTAATTAATTTTTTTCAAGAATACTTGGTTATGTAATAATATTATCACTGGACTCGCCACATAAGAAACCGGTTGTCTATCACAATGGCCTGAAGCCGAGTCATCAGTGTTCATAAAATTCCTCTTATCCAGCAAATCCGTTGCTGATCCGGCCTGGTAACCGGCGTAGAGATAATGGAGCACGTTTGACTTCAAGTATGGCCCCCTTATCCGATGAATCCGTCATCATCCGGCCTCTATACCAGCGTAGAGATATTTCTCACACACACTTTTTAAACTTCACATTGAATATTGGATTTCAATCCAGATCAGGTAATTAGAAAATGTTGGACTTGCACAGACATTAACCTGACTTTAAGCGTGGGGATGCCATGTTTCTTCTACCGTGGCCAAAAGTCGAATCCATTTTTCACTCTGATTATACATTACTGTCTGCTCATAAGGTTTATGTCACTGTCATCACCTGACTGTTTTGTTTTCCAAAGAAGACTCGAAAAAAATAACTGCAAAATATTATGCATCATACCTATCCATGACACACTTGACAAATGCGAATAAATTAATATCCAATATTTCCCTTTGTAATATTAAATGTATGTTCTCTTTTTTAATCCATTTGCAAACAAATTAGTATCGCTAGATTCATCAAAAAATCTATTTTTCGAAAGGTGCTCGTCAAAAAATGGATGCCATTTGAGAAATATTAGTTAAACACGAAAATGTAGTTTTGTAAATTTGTCTTCTTCCTATTTATCATACCAGTCACTGAAACTTTGCAATTATAACCTGAGATCATGTACCTAGATTCTAGATGCTATAATGAAAGTCAGCCTAAAAAAAAAAAAAATAAGTAGGCGTAAATACTTCTGAGAATGTCATATCCCGATCCAAATTTGTCTCAAAAATTCAAAAATGCTATAATATACAGGATGTTCCATTCAAAAAGTCAAAAACGGAGTCATATCTGGTGAAAATGGAAATGACCGGGAAATGGAAAGTATAAGAAAACTTTTCTCTTCACTGCCATATACACATTCAAATGAATATTCTAGGAGTTATGGCTTGTCTAACAAATTGACACCTGGTATGTCCTTGTCTTCAAGGTAGATATTATACAGGTAATGCAAAAAATTAGGAGAAAAAAAAGGAGACCATTCAAAACACCAAAATAAAGGTTGAACGGTCTTCTTATTGAAAAAATGTAAACTTCAACGCCCTGTACCTAAAAAAAAAATAAAACAGTATAAGTGCATATATCCATAGATATCGATCCCTTTAGCCATTAAAGCTTGATCACCCTGTACACCCGGTCGTTTTGTCATAGATGAATAGAATACCAAGAGATATCTAAAAATTAGAAAAAAATATACACAAAATAAATCTTGACTTAACTATTTACTCTCTTACAGATTAGGGGGGGTTAGTTACTTTCTCGTCGACCGTTTGGTCTTCCTTAAGCTAGTCGCTTTTGCCGAGCTGGTCGCCGCAGCGCCCCCTTTGGTGGCAGATTTCGACGTTGACGGAACAGGTTTCGAAGATTTTGCACCTAAAAAAGTCGGTGTTTCATTTCTCGATTCATACAGTGTCATTCATAAAGTCGTCATCATATGTATGTAGTGGAATCTTTGAACGTGAATTTGAACCACTTCAAAAACATCGAACACTTATCAAGAACCGATGACAATAGCATAAGTTGATATAGTTTTGTTCGATTATCCTGATCAGGATCTTCAAGATAAGCGATTGTTTGTATATCCACAGACACGGCAATGTCTTGCACCAAGTACTCCAATGAAATAGTGATATCCAGAGATGGTAGTGTATTGCACCCATACCACATACTCCTATGAAAAAGCAATAATAAATGAGTTTTTAGAAAAAAAACTAAAAAACACCTAAACAAATGAGATGACCATTGTTACCCTTTTATGTTATTTATTTTCCCATTTTTTGAGTCATCTACATAAAAGCTTGTATTATTTGTACCCCTGAAAAAAATTACAACTTCGTCATCCTTGGATCAAGGACAAAAATATGTATAGGTTCGGAATCCTCCTGATATTTTACGTTAGTCTAGAGAAGTCTGAAAGGTTTTCAATGCAAAAATAGCATTGTTCGAATTTTGGTAGGAAAAATATACAAGATCGTTATCTTTAAAATATGAGTCCAATAAATAAAGGGAAAAAGTTAACATTAATTACGCACTATTTTCATCTTCCGGTTGGAAGTAGCTTTTGGTAAGTCATTAAACATGAGACAAAGTTTGACTGGAAAACGCGTGCGATGGCGGAGAAAATGGCCCCAAAAGACCAGGAAAATAGGTTTTCAGCCAATATCTCCTAAAATATGGCAGTTAGAGATTTTCGGTTCAGATAAAAATTGAAGTTCAGTTAATTTTCTACAAAAATGGTCCTTATCATTTTTCTCGAAAATTTGCCCGATTTCGAGAAAAACGGCACGAAGCGCACCTCGAATAATGAGCTTCTGTTGTATGCCGGAGAGCACAGTCCGTGTATTTACACATCGGCGGGGGGACAAATTATTCAATAAATTTGTTAAAAATGCTTATTTTCTCATGATTCAAAGTTCATGTGAAAGAGGAATTCTGCTGCTATCATACCCTGTAAATTGAGTCACGCTTGACTCTTTTGGCCATATCGGAACATGGGTCAAACTTTCTGCTCCCGGTCAATTTTGACCTCGTCAGGAATTTGTTCCTATTGTTTTTGTATTGCACTAATTTACTCAAAATTCTCTTGATTATGGGTCCTCATAAGGTCCTTTGTCATCCCTGAAATTTGTATACCCTAATTTTATTTAAATTTTCATTTAATCTTTGTTTATTGAATCCCAACTTTTTGCTGTTTTTGGAGCGCGGGGAAATTTTGTGAACAACCATCAATTAAAAATTTATACATGATCCGATTGGTTTCTATGATACATCATTTGAAAGCCAAGAAGGTCTACTTTTTGATTGTGCAATTACTTTTTTAGACGGGGTCAAGGAAAAAAAGGACTTTTTTTTCGGTGTTTTTTTTCTTCGTGCTCTTAATTTCTAACATTTTAACACCTTAACTAGTGTAACGGGGGAATTCCCACCTTCCCATCGATGTATATAAGTCATACCTTTGATATCCCGGGAAAAAAACAGTATATCTAAATGTACACGATATAATTTATTACTTTCGTTCCTCCGTCGTTCGCCGCGTGTGTGCTCTACGTGGCGCTCGGGTCGTCTGCTACAAAGCAGCAGAATTCCTCTTTCACATGAACTTTGAATCATGACAAAATATGCATTTTTAACAAAGTTATTGAATAATTTGTCCCCCCGCCGATGTGTAAATACACGGACTGTGCTCTCCGGCATACAACAGAAGCTCATTATTCGAGGTGCGCTTCGTGCCGTTTTTCTCGAAACCGTGCAAATTTTCGAGAAAAATGATAAGGACCATTTTTGTAGAAAATTAACTGAACTTCAATTTTTATCTGAACCGAAAATCTCTAACTGCCATATTTTAGGAGATATTGGCTGAAAATCTATTTTCCTGGTCTTTTGGGGCCATTTTCTCCGCCATCGCACGCGTTTTCCAGTCAAACTTTGTCTCATGTTTAATGAGGTACCAAAAGCTACTTCCAACCGGAAAATGAAAATAGTGCGTAATTAACGTTAACTTTGCCTTTTTTTCCTCCTTCATTTATTGGACTATATGTATAGATTCGGAATCCTTGTGACATTTTAGCTCCCCCTAGATGGCTTTCAACATAAACTATTTTTTAAATTGGGCGGAAAAAATATGTAACTTCATTATCCTTCAATATTATTTAATCTGTGGCAACGGTCCCGTCAAGTGTCCGGATGTTTGCAAGCAAAAAAAAATGAAAATCAAGGAAGTTTCCACTCACTTTTGCTATGAGATCGGCTAGCCCCAGCCTGTCCGGCCGTCGACCTCCCGATCTTGGCCAGCACTATCGCCTTCTTCTGGTCCATCACCGGACTCTTCGACTCGACCTTTATTTATACAAAAAAAAATTATACTTGTCATTATACAGTGTGTGCAAGATAAGGAGAGAAAAGTTGCGCAAATTCTAGCCTAACTATGTGCTGTTTAGAAAGTATCAAAATTCCGAGTATTTCCGTAGATATATGCCTGAAAAACATGAATTTTCCGATTTCGTTTTTTTGACGTCATTTTAAGCTCTCCAAAACAGCGTTGAGAGATTTTCCGTAGGGCGTTTTGTTTAAGACAAACCATCATAAACTCCATTTTTTAAATGACCAGTAAAAAAGGTCATCAAATTTCTGTATTTCAGGCATATCTCCGGAACTAGTCGGAATTTTGAAACTTTCTGAACAGAATATTGAAAATGCGCAACTTTTCTATTCCATTAAACATCTTTGTATCTCTTATGGTTTTCGAGATCCCCATGATAGACATCCTTATACAGGGTGGGCCACCAGTAACGCCTCGGTCTCTAGAAGGCTAACCACTCATCTTCTTGGAATTCTTCCTCTTTAGGAAGTTGCATGTCAACATAGGCTACCATTTAAAATTATTTCGAAACATACAGGGTGTCCCCAAAAACCATAAAACACTGAACTTCTATCGAACACCCTATATATTATTTCATTTTGAGATTCTCCCTGATGAGCTGATTTCAACAATCCATCATACTTGGGGTCTAGCAGTTATAATTACTGAGATATAGGGTGTGAAAAATCGAGAATTTTTTGTGTCTAAACCATTCATAATTGGTCAAAACGGCTCACATGTCCCTATCTCAGTGTTTTATGTTTTTTGGGGACACCCTGTATGTTTCGAAATAATTTTAAATGGTAGCCTATGTTGACATGCAACTTCCTAGAGAGGAAGAATTCCAAGAAGATAAGTGGTTAGCCTTCTAGAGACCGAGGCGTTACTGGTGGCCCACCCTGTATACAGTGTGTCCCACTTACCATGCTCACCATGGGTATCTCTTTAATGATGAGAGATACGAGGTCGGCTAAATGACACCAAATGTGGAGTTTGTCACGGCCAACTATAATATGAAAAAATATTTTGATAAAATCTATTCGTTTTTGTTTTATACGCAAAAAACAGATTTTGATCATTTTCATGTCTCCTCCATAACTTCTTTATTTATGAAAATATTCGAATAGGAATTTCACATTCTCATGGCAACTTTTCAAAGTGATCTCGAAAAAAATATGAAATTTATACCAACTCTTCTAGAATTTGAGATATCAGCACCAACTTTAGTTTTTCAAATGTAGGTCATAGCTCACTATGACTTAGTTACAAATAACTTTTTTTTCTCTTACAGATGATATGTCGCAGTAATAGTTTTGTGTTGATAACAACGGAGTTATCGTCATTTATACGAAAACAAAAAATTATTTGGAAGCCGCCATCTTGAATTTATAAATTTTAACAAAAGAACCATGATCTCCGACCTCGAAAACCCCTACTAACCAATTTTGAATAGAATCGGACCAAATCTTGTCCGTCATCTTGGAGCCGCCATTTTTTTAATTTCAAATTATGAACACCTGCCAAATTTTAAGGTAATCGGAGTTATAGAATTTTTGTTGAAATTTAAAAAAATGGCTGCTCCAAGATGGCGGACAAGATTTGGTCCGATTCGGTTCAAAATTGGTAAGTGGGGGTTTTTGAGGTCGGAGATCATGATTTTTTCGTTGAAATTCATAAATTCAAGATGGCGGCTCCCAAATAATTTTTTGTTTTTGTATAAATGACGATAACTCCGTTGTTATCAACACAAAAATATTATTGCGACATATCATCTGTAAGAGAAAAAAAAGTTATTTGAAAAGCTTAAGTTGGTGCTGATATCTCAAATTCTAGAAGAGTTGGTATAAATTTCATATTTTTTTCGAAATCACTTTGAAAAACTGCCACAAGAATGTGAAATTCCTATTTGAATATTTTCATAAATAAAGAAGTTACAGAGGAGACATGAAAATGATCAAAATCTGTTTTTTGCGTATAAAACAAAAACGAATAGATTTCATCAAAATATTTTTTCACATTATAGTTGGCCTTGACAAACTCCACATTTGGTGTCATTTAACCGACCTCGTATCTCTCACCGTTAAAAAGATACCCATGGTGAGCATGGTAAGTGGGACACACTGTATATTATGTATCTTCGTCGCCTTCATTTTAAATCTCATAAATATTTCTGGCATTGTGTGGAACTCTGGATTGCCCTTATCAATTATGTCTATTGTAAGATAAGGATAAATCCAATAATAAAGATTCCTACCTTCCTCTTGCCTCTCGCCGCCCTGCCGGCGGTCTTCTTCGCCTCGGCCGCCGCCGGCTTGCTGGCGACCGGCGCCGGCTTCCTGACGACCGGCGCCGGTTTCTTGGCCGGCGCCGGCGCTCTCGGCTCCACTTTGCGCACTTTGGCCGCCTCCGGGGACTTTTTCGTAGGGGCTGCCTTCTTGGGGGAGACGGAGCGGGGCCGGCCCTTGCGTTTGGCGGCTTTGCGCTTCTTTTTCAGCTGCTCCTCGTCTTTGTACAGGGACAAGTCCACTGTGGACGAGTAAAATGAGTGTCAAGAGGTGATTCGACAATAGAAAATTAGAAATTTATTATACAATGGAAAAAAGTAGTAGATTTTAGCGCCAGGTTGTGTTGTCTCCCGATGCGTAGCGGAAGGAGACAAAATACCGTGAACTAAAATGTGATATTTTTCCCGTGTATTATACACTATTTTTTTCTATGACAGATGAAAGGACGAATCAATATTGAGAAGATATTACATTATTTTGAAATCTGAAAATTATAGACGTGAAATTTCAAGTTTTTAACAGTAGGGACACCTGCGTTGTAGGCATCTTCATCATTGTTTTAATCAAACATCTGCGAATTTAGTGGTTTTTTAGTAATAAACGTAACCGCGAAGTCGAATGGAAGATAAAAGGACTCGCAGTTCTTTCTCGGAGACGGTATTATTGACTCATTTTTCTACTACAACTATATATGTGATATATATCCGGGAAAAAAGTGCTCATTTTTTTCCCACGGGAATAAAGTAATTTATGAAAAGTGACATTTTATAACCTGCCAACAGTGCCAACAGAGATGAAATGCCAAACTTTTTTCCGTTCACAGAAAAAAACATATTTTTTGGTAAGTTGCGTTCGGTCCAATTTTCGATTCACCCAAATTTTCGAAAATTGGGTGAATCGAAAATTGGGCGAATCGAAAATTGGGTCAAACGAGACGTTTCCTTTTTTTTTTTGTGAAGGCGAGTGGACCCATTGTAACATGAAAATTAGCCTTTTTCATATTACATGGTATATCTAGTTTAGAATCTCAAAATAAACAAAAAACTTACCATCATAAAGATACCAGACCATAAATATTGATTTCTAACGTTTAAAGAAACTGATATGGTATCTCCACTATGATATGCTCACAATTGCTCACTCTGTATAATACCCTTTATTCATTCGAAAATACACAAATATCTATCACATCATATCTCATTTATTTTATGGGTCATCAATAGGCCTCTTGCAGTTTATAATCTGAAAGTCTTGAAGATAGCTGAAAATAAACAAAGGATAATAAGTTGATAAATATGAAGGAATTTGATTGAAATTACCTGGATAGAAGTGTCCAACAGTTTAGATATACTTTCTGTTCCCTTCCCATTGATTTGAAGCTCCTGAACAGAAGAATGTTGGCCTGAAATGAACAAATGAATGAAGTCAATTTATAAATTCAATGTAAACATCTTGGGAAAATATTTCAACTTGAGAACTTTCAAAGTAAACAAGCACATGCCTGAGTTAAATTTAGATATCTACCTTGTTGATTCCTTGGCTGAAGTTATTGTAATTTCGAATAAATCTCGATTTTTCTTGGTCATTTATGTGGGGTTATGTTATTAATTTGATTTATGCGAATCTGACAGAAGTGATAACAACCTAATTTGTTCTTCTTCTACTTTCTATTAGTTATCTTTCTACTCAGGACAGTGGCCTTATTTGTAGTTCCGAGTGCAATAGGAGATTTTGCATCTTTGTTTATCGTTCCTGATCGTGAAGGATGGAAGAGTACAGCTGTTGCAGCCTTGGGACAATAGGAGTCAGAAATGTCTGTATGTTATGATTTCCCGCTCAGATTTTAAATCACAGGAAATTATATGTCATCAATTTTCATTAGGAGTATTGGTATGATTGATGTTAGGTCCAATTTGAACCAATCAGGTGATGCCAGATCGTCACGAGTCAGTCACGTGCGTTGGATATTTTGTTTTTTTGAATGTGCAGTGTCGAAATTTCGATAATTTGTCTTTTCCAAAGTTTTTATAAATGTATTTGTGATTTGCTTTGCGCATCAAGTTATTTCTTCTCCTTCCGGCAACTTCATTTTCTGCAAGATGCTGGAAGACGTGACTTCGAAAATGAGAATGGGGTCTCATTTTGATTTTGGTGAGGCTGCAGGAAGGTGCAAGCCTGATAAACAGGCCATCCAGATTGGAGGTGAGTTATTTTCTTTTCTGAGGCTCTCAGCCATTTTTGTGAATCACAAGACAGTGATCCCGAATCTATTCTTATAGATTTGTGGGCCTGTCAATTGGGGCCTGGGACCAAGAGGCCATTTTGTGAGACCACGCCGGTCACTTTACCTCCCAGAGAGGATCTCTCGACTTTTGCTGAGGAGTTGCTGTGGCTGATTCTGACTCTGGACGTTACAAGACACCCTACTAGGATTCTGGCCGGTAATCTGTTTGCTGACTACGAGTGGTTTGCTAGATCACCTGCGGCTGTTTGGGGAACTTCGTTTCCAGCCCAGTCACGAGGTCATGGCACCTCAAGTTCAACAAGTTGCTGCCCACTAGGTATCTTGTCACCTATGAAAACCGCAGTCCTGGGACTCCCAGATCTTCACTGGCAGATGTAATCTGTCCTGCTCAGGATCACCTATGTTCCAGAGGCTGAACCCTAGCCTGAATTCTACCTAGTCACCAGGTATCATTTAAAAACCACCTTAAAATTGAACTACGTCACCACCATGTCATAACAATTATGCTTTCTTGAATTTCTCATACCATTCACATTTTTGTTTTATTGAAATTACTTGACTATATAAAAGGAATACCTATTAATAAAGTTAGGAAGCTGTGTATGCTTCGATATGGGCCTATAGCGGAGTTAGGGAATTTTTCAGTTAGTCCTCATACCTAGTGAGACTAAAATGAGTGTATCTTGCCAGGTATTTTTCACATGAAAGTTTAAATCACTAGTTGACTATAATAAAACAGATATTTTTGTCAATACCTATAAATTTGTGAATGATTTTGATCTTTTCATCTAATCTTTTATTTCTGTCAATACCTATAAAATTGTGAATGATTTTGATCTTTTCATCTAATCTTTTATTAAAATCCACATGAGACCACAAGTAGTGTTTTTATTCAATAATAGTTTACATTTCAGGTACAAGTTATTTCTTTGAGAATCATAGATATATCATCTGAGAGTAAGTAATTGTAAATTGTTGATTTTAACATCTGATACAATTTTTCTAAGTTTCGATCTTCAATAAACTTAGTGGCGCTCAACTGGCCACCTAACAAAATCCGAACACCAAGCCATTGGTTCACCAGACACAAGAGCTGCCGGAGCAAATTGTGGTACTTGCTTTTCTGATTTTTATTTTTGAAAATAAAAAACAGTAAAGTTCGTATCATTAATTTGACGCCTATAACGTGGGGCCCGATTTTGTTAGGTGTTTATTTCTTTCTTTTCTGAAATACACTTGTGGACTCATGTGATAAAAAACTTTTTTTTTGGTGGTTGAATATTAAAAATTTGAACTCATGATGGTTAGTGGACAACTAAACTGGAATAAAAGGTGATTCCCATATTGTTCTTTATTAGGGTGCATTGATTTATTTGAACTCAGCTGAGTTATCATTTTTTCTCCAAAAAATCACTAGATGGTCATAATTTGGTTATTTTTCTGTGATAACTTCTAGTGTTGATGTTGGAATATTGAGCTAAATTTTTCTTTGGTAAGGAATATCTACAAAGTGTTGATAATTCCAATTTATCATTATTGAAAAACATCTATACAGGGTGTTGAAAAAGTTTTTCATTTGAATTTTTTTGGAACACTTCCATGATAGGTGTTTGAAATTTTTTGATTTTTCTTAAATTTGGTGGTCCATATGAAGTGGAATATAATTCCCTTTCAGACATATACAGGTGTTTGAAAATTTTTTTGGTATCTTGGTATTTGGTGGTCCATATGAAGTGGAATTTTATTTCCTTTCAAACATATAAAGGGTGTTTGAAAATTAAAATTTGTTTTTGAATCAAAAAGTTTCACTTTGATTAGAATTTTTGAAGAACATATACAGTGTGTTCAATTTAAATGGAATTTACATAGAACATATACAGTGTGTTCTATCTGTGCTTTGAAAGTTTTCAACTTGGAACTTTGGATTTACATTGATTTTCCCAGAAATTTCCCTCAATATTTTGAATCCTGCTTGGGATATTATACAGAGTGAGTATATGAATTTACACTGAATTTCCCTGAATATTTTTTGAATCCGGCTAATATCATACCAAGTGGGTATAAACTTAGATGTAACATTAAATTTTGCTTAACATTTTGGATACTTGCTAAAAATATACAGAGTGAGTGTGAAATATTTAATTTTGAATTTTGAATTTATTACTACTACCATTGCTACCCGTGAACTTTGAATAATTTAAATAAAATTTCTACTTTCAAATATTAATTCCCTCTTTCAATTTTTTTAAGAATTTTTTTGACAATGGCTACCTTCAAACCCAATCACTTGTTAATAGATGAGTTGAATTATGAACTCAAGATTAGAGGCATTGTTACAGATCGTAATATGAATGAGAAACGCAGTATTTTAGCAAAAGCTATGCAAAAGGGTAAAAATCCCACCCCTCTTGTCGATCCGGATTTTAAATTCGAAGATGAAAAAGATGAAATTGAGGCGACCCTTGAAAATATTGAAAATACAATTCCTGATTTCGAAAGTGGTTCGACTAAGGATTCGGTGTACCAAAGATTGCGTTCTAGGTTATGTCACGTGGGTGAGAGAATTAAACGAATGGAGATTGACCAAACAGATAGGGCCCAAGTAATTTTCAAAAATGAAGCTTATGCAACGTCAGTCTTATTGGAATCCACTCTGGAAGATAAAATTTCCAAGACCGAAAGTACGCCAATTATTCCTGATGATTTGTCAAATTCCTTGATGGGTATGTTCAGCCAGTGCAATCCTTCTCGAGCTTCGCCTTCGGTCTCTAATTCTAAACCCCCAGCTATTTATAAATGGAACGTGAAATTTGATGGTACCAAGAAAACTTTAGGAGTCAAATCATTTTTAGAAAGGGTTAGGGAACTTGCGGAAGCCAGACAAGTCACTAAGGTACAGCTTTTTGACGCTGCTTTGGATTTATTTGAAGGTAAAGCCTTGTTATGGTTAAGAAGAATTAAAGATTCAGTAAGAGATTGGGATTCATTATGTAACA